CTCGATCACAGTGGTAGCTACCAATAGTATCTTCCAATATTCCATTACTTTCTTTATACGCGGACAAATGGTGGGACGGATTGTTGTTGTTGTTTTTTACCAGTTTGAAAGCAATTTCTTGTCACCCTTAGGGAATCACTTAATAAAGTTCCCACGTTCACTCAGCTATTTCGACCAATAAACGTGTTTAACAATTGGCAACTTAAATTTTGTAACTGTTTCTAAGCACCGTCTCTTAGCTGGATTGCTTAGAGCATTCATCTGGCTAGCTGAGGAAAAAAAACCAATATAACATATCACAAATGTCCCGCTTAACAAATGGAAATTTTGGGTCTCCTTTGCGGTCGTAAGTCTGAGGATGACCTGTATTTCAACCCCAAAACTGGAATGCAAAATGCTGTCAGAATCGCCAAATGTATGAATGAGGCCAGAGTGATTTCCTTCTGTTCCGGCCCATTCTTTTCATCAGCGGTTTACATATCCCCTATTTGTGGAAAACTCTTGTGGGGAAAACTATATGAAGAATTAAAGCCACTGATTTGGCAATCGGGTTTATGGGATACCATGAGGCGGAGTTCTTAGTCATGCTGCATTAGACTTGGGTCTAAGAGATCTATTTACCCATTTCTTTGCAACGAAACAAAATGAAAAGTCACGGCTGAGCAGAGACAGCCAAGTAGCTACTTGGATTCCAATCTCTCAAGAATATAGGATCAAGAAATCATGCTTGCAGTGGAAAAGACACCTGTCAGAAAAAGTCTCTTTCTTCCCTGACATCAGTTTAACATGGCTGACATCTCCCCTCTCAGCGGCGTATGCCAGCCTGCGTAACAACCCAGCGAATCTGAGTCCGCCTCATGCCTAATTTCCCTACTCTGCCATATTTTCCTTTCCAACAGCTCCTTGGCGCAGTGTATACTAGAAGGGACTTGCATACTAGAATAACAGAGTTGGAAGGGACCTTGGAGGTCTTCTAGTCCAACCCTCTGCTTGGACNGGGAGCTTACCTAACAATAGTTTTGCAATTGGCTTGGGGACAGAAATAAATGGTTTTCTTAGTTTAATTGACTTTTGTGAGGAGCAATATAGAGGACAGTTCAGTTGGCCTCCTATCATTTTTAATTCTATCAGGTATAGCATCTTAGTAAGCAGCCTTGCTAGGAAGGGAACATGTCACTTTTGCAGTAGCCTGAATCCTTCTTTTCATTTCAATCTCAGAAGGTCCTCAAAAATGTCTCTTGCCCATATAAATCATTGCTGTATCACTGTCTCTTATCTGTGAAGTCTAGAGTGTCACTCTACTGAGGTGATTCAATGAGAAACATCTCAACTTTCAGTCCATAGAATGACCTATTTCATCAGTTTGTGAGAAGTGTGTCCAAAGATTGAAAAATACTCAGCAAGTTAATATGTACCGTATACTAGCAAAAGACTGAATTCTCTAAGGTGGTTGGTATTTTAATGATTATTTCTTCTTGACTGAAAACAGAAATTACTTCATGTTAAAAAACAATTTAAAAAATTGCACTGTGACAGAGGTTTTGGAACAAAACTCAGCCTCTGATTTATTATGAAAAAATATTGCTAACTGAAAGTAGTATCTGTATGTCACCTGAGCAAACATATTGCAGATATATTTCATATTTGCTTTGTTTTAAAATGTAAGAAATATCTCAGCATTGTGTCATCTGGGTTTTCCCCAATTGAGTTAAGGACTCTTTCAGGAAGCTTAATGACTATTTAACTAAAAGAGGATGTACTTTCAAAACCAGATGAGATAAAAAATATAAATAAAAATGGTTAATTGCCTAAGTATAGGAAACCAAACTTTAAAGAGGAGCACCTGTCTGCATAAACAAAGAGGGTAATATTAGTGACTCCACTCCTTTGGTGCTATAATAAAGGACGTGTGTTTGTGTCAACATATATCTTGTAAGTCATAGGTTAATGTTTTGTGGGTATTATATTTAGCATTTTAATGAGCTAAGTATTCCATTATCTTGACATACCTTACCAGTTATACTCAGTAAAGACATTCCAAAACCAAGATAGTACTCTGGGCAGAACATTCTAATAATAATAATATTTATTGTTTAATGTTGCTTTGAAGATTAGACTGGATCTAGAATTTCAGACATGCTCAGTGGAAAATGGGGGGGGGGAGACTTATTATTTCAGTTCCCCAAATTCATTCTTTGTTAGAGCAACTTCCTGGAATTTACACTTAGACTACCTGACCAAGATAGGTAGATAAATAAATAGGCAGATAAAGGTTACACAGCTGGAACAGACATCCTTGCAGAAAACATAGCTTTAATTCAAACGGTATCGAGCATTTTTTTCACCAAAATGACCACATAATAGCAATCCATTTCCTAGGCTGTTTCCAATATCTGTACTTTGTTATTTTATTCTGTCTTTTAAACTTCCATGTCTTTAACCTAAAAAAAAAAGACTGCCACTCTCAGAACAAATGATGACCGTATCACATTGGATTCTTTTTACAGTGAATTTGTTTCAGATTGTTTGAGGTTTTCCTTATACATTTTTGTCCTGGAGAAGATAACAAACAAGAACCAACTTAAGGCAATTGTTTTGTGCAGTCACATGAAGAACTGAGGTGTTGGGATGGTAACTTACTTCCAATTATTAAAATTTGGAGGATTTTTCCAAGTAAGAGAACAACTGTGATTTGGGTCTAATTAAAAATAATACTTTACTGGTACATATGTGAAACATTTAACTAGCAATCTAGAACTCTGGCCAAAAGAAGAATCCAGTTTTTAATGATACCGGTCTCAGAGTTTATCATGAAATACTTTTTAGGGTTTATTTTTATTCAAGGTATTCCATAACTCTGCCATTTAAATAGCTTCGCATAGGATGCCTCAGGCACAAAGAACCAGAAACAACACAAGGAGTTAATCAGAGTGGTACATTTATTGCTACTCGCCCTCTGACAGGAATCTTGCCAGACAAATGCATTCACTACAGAAACTACTAAACACTGAAAAGCCTTAGGGCAGATCACCTTTCAGCCACTTCCTCCCCATCAGTAATTCAAGGCTAGTTAGCCATTCCATTCCTCCCCTCAACTCAGGATTAGTATTAGACTAGGCTCACATATCACTCAAAGCTATGATTATTTAACCATAGTTGACTAAATTAAGAGTTAGCTAGTTACTTCCCAGTGCTTTGTTGTGTGCAAATAATAAACAAGTGTATCTACATTATCTTTCAGTGTTGCCTATAAAAGTGTGCTTGTTTAGCTTTTTTCGTGTTTATAAGAATCTTATACGTATGCTAAATTTTCTTAAATTACTCAACCAGAAATAGGTATATAAGCTAATACTGCACACATCTAGTGAAGTGCACTAGTTTTGATTAGCTGCAGGCAATATACAAGTCCAGACAATATACACTGCCTGCTTAAGGAAATCAAAGATACAAATGGGCCAAATATTAGTTATGGACCTGGAGGTTCAAAGTTCAAGTCCACCCTGTCATAAAACCTTCTTGGGATACTTAGAGCTGTTCTCTTCCTCTCAGCCCAGCCTACCTCATATAGTGGTATAGAAAACTTGGAGATAATGTTCCCTTGAACTATTAAGAGAATATTGACTAATATCATAAATCTAATTAGTTCTCCTAATTTATCAGAGTCAGTTTGATAAAGTGGGTATGGCATCAGGCTGGAAATAGGGAGCATGGTAATTCTAGTCCTGCCTTAGGGACAAAGGTAGCTGGGTGGGCTTGGGCCAGTTACTTTCTCTAGGAAAGAGGCAATGGCAAACCACTTCTGAAAAACCTTGCCAAGAAAACGGCAAGGACTCAGAATTGGACACGATTAAATCAGGGGTGGGTTGCTTCCAGCATTACCGCTGGTTCGGTGCACGCAAAAATTTTGTGTGTGCACGCTAAATTCACTCGTGCATAGCTATTTTTTGGCTAAACTTCTATCATACCTTTTGTCCAAGAGTTCAAGGCTGCATAAACTCCTTTTCCAAATTTTCCCCACTTCAATTCTGTGTAATAGACTAAGGTAAGAGAGAGTTCCTGGCCCAAAGTCACCCACTGAGTTTCCATGATAGTGGACTTGAATTTGAATTTTCTATGTCCTAGTGCAACACTTTAAATTAGTACAACTGTTCCAACAATACATTATTCCAAGATTAGTGCTTCTCAAGCCACTTCAGTGTTAACCAGCACCTGCTAAAGAAGTCAACTCTGAACACAGAAAGGGAAATGTTTTAATTAATATGCACATTAAGAATTAATGTATTCAATTTGTTCATTTTTTTCTGTGAATTCACAGAGCAACAAGAGACACAGTAAATTTATTTTGGTTCTTCAGTTATATTAAAAAAATTAATCAGCTGATTCTTCCACAGCTAAGCCTTGTTTTATAAATATAATGCAGCCATAATAAGTTGCAAGGTATTACTCTCACATATACTCTGCATATTATTTCATATCTAATCTGTATAGCACAACTTGTGACAAAGGCATCTTAAATAAACTGAGGAAAAAGTGCTTGATTTGAAATGTTTTTACAAAAGTAGCACATCATTTTATTATAGATTTAGCTGAGTAAGCTTTATTTAGAAAAAAATAATTAAAATGATTGGGATTGCATTTAGCGGGTTTAGTTTTTGGACAAAGGAAATTGACCAATACAATAATAGAGCATCTAGAATTGCATATTTGCCCCATTCAGCATAGACAGTTTTGCAAATGGATGTATCTTCCTTTCCATTCAAATGGTTAATATAATTGGTCACCTTCATTAACAGATACATTAGTTCCAATAATACATGTTGTAGGAACAGATTATGCATTTGAATTGAGTTAAAGATATTGGCTCTTTGGTAAAATTTCCATTAATTTTTTTCTCTCAAATAAAGCATCTTCTGTATTGGCTTTTTACATGATCATCCAGAGCAAAATATATGCAATAACCCAGTAACAGCATTGTGTTATTTGAACTCCTTAAACTTCTGAAAAGAATTGGTCATTTTCAAAAGTCTTGCCCCACAATTCTTGTAGAAAAGTATGATAGCAGCTCAAGAGCTTTTGGAGAATATATAAGAGCAGAAGAGCATTGGCAGAACCTTGATCACATAACACACAATTGTAATGCATATATACATCAAGCTATAAAACTTCTGGAATGAAGCACTGCTTAAAATGTAAAACAGACAACTATATTTTAGTACATTTAGTGGAGCCAGACTCTAAATTTGTGGAGAATATATCTCTCACAACTTTTCAATTAAAGCAAAACAAAACCCAAAAGGCAAAACAGGAGGATATTTAGGGCTGCCCATGACAATAATAAAAAAACACAAAATTCTCTTCTAAAAAGGAATAATGTGTCAACTTGCTTTATATGAACAATTCAGGATAATTTCTAAGAAAATCAGAAAAAAAAGCCTTTGAGTTATCTTAATAATATCAAACAATGGACCTTGATACTAGAATTTCTAGCCATGGTAAAATAGGACCAAAGTAGGTGATAAAATTAGAGTTGCATTGAACGTACAGGTTTTGTAAAAATGCAAATCACATTCGCTAGAAGAAAAATCTGATCATTACTGGGGCTAAATTAATTTGGCCTTTTCTTCTCCTCCTACAAGTCCTAGAACAATCATCCTTTGAAGATATCAGTAGGTGAAATTTCAATACGGATTACTCTTTCAAAGCAAATACTAGCTTCGGCAAATGAGTTTTCTTCAAAATCAGAAGGGGGAGGAAAGATATAGATTCCACTTCCCCGACATCAGATCAAACTAAGCTGATTTTATTTGCATTTCTAAAAAACATGCAAGCCATTTATAAATGCTCTTTTAATTACCTCCAGATTGGTTGTGAAAGTTATGATTTCTATAAGATCATTAAAATGTTCTATTCTTAAATTGCAAAGTAAGAAAATGTTCCCCATTCTATATATTACATTGAATATGAAGTGAGATGGGAAATTACAAGCAAATCTTTAAGAAACTTTATTTCAATACTTGCAATTCCCAAGATAATATTTGCCTATTTTTGTATTTATACAAAAATATTGTACAAATTTTGCATCTTTTTCAGGCTTCGAGGATCATAGTATTTGGGCAACTGATCCTTGTCTTCGCTGAGGAAAACATTTTGCTCTTCATGTTGATAGGCTATTTTCCCCACAAAAAGATAAATTTCTGAGGTGCCAGGACCTAGGGATAATATAACTGTAAAAGACTCCACAAATAAATAGTAGCTACTATATATATATACATTACTAAAAACACCATGGTATTTAGATTTATTAGAATGTATAATTACAAATGAACAAACTCTTTTTAACATAGCAATACTGCATTTATTATGCTTTTTCCTAACAATTCCCAGTTTCTGCTTCTAGAAATTGTTCCAAGTATAAAGGTAATATACACAGCAAACATTTTCAAGTTGGTTGACAGGATTCAAAGTCCTTCGTCGTTATATACTGGAGAAACAGGCTTTACAATGCTTTGTGGATTAGGTTCCACTAGGGGGCGCCAACTCACTTCCCCAGACAGCAGCAGGTCTTCTCCTGACATAGCATCCAGATGCTGCACCTGATAATCACAGCAAAATAGTGCAAGTCACTTTCAGATTTGTTGGAAGGGTGATTTCTTCCTTCAGGATATTGATGGGAGATGGGGCTGTTATTTGTTTAATGAGTATTATTAAGAATATTCAAATACAATTTATGTCAATGTGGTTTTGGTTGCTCTACTGAAATACTCTAGTTTTGTTATCATAGTACAATTCCAGAAAGGGTCTTGATTATCAGGAGGAACTCTAAGGGGTAGAACTCTGAAAACCTCCCGGTAAGTGTTTTTCTTTATATTTTTTTAACCATTCCCCAACATACAGGGATTCCAGTCTCCAATTATTTATTTATTTACTAGTTTAATGTACATACAGCCTTTCTATCAACAAATAGCATACAAATGGCTTGCTGTATACTAAATAAATACAAAGTGGCTAATAATATATTAAACTAACCAACTATGTACATTAACCATAATTAAAATACAATTGGAAATGTATTGTTAAAATAGCACCCAGTCAGCTTCAGAGGTGCTTCCCAACATATGGGAATATGAACATGAAAACAGCTGCATCTCTTTCATTGCAGTAGAAGAAAGCTCCTCAAAGCAGCTGTGCAATACTGGAAACAGAAGTAAATGTCTTGATAAGCTGCTGGCAGGGATTGCTGGGAAACACCAAGCTCCTAAATAGCTCTTCCAAGTAACAATTCCCAATTAATAGAATTCCATTAATTTACACGTTAAATGTGTGCTTGGATAAAAAAAATTCTGCCTGCCAGAATACAGCAGAAAAGCAGCTAACACGATTTACCTTAGGTGTGGGAAGTCAAGAATTCTATGCTGCTTACCTGTTTGCGCACATATTCTACCATCATTGCCAGCTGCCTAGGATCCTTGCAATGTGTTTCAAACAGATTTCTCCAGATAGCTGCTGCAAGTACATGATCATCTGAGAGTATTCCCTAAAATACATTTTTAAAGAAGAGGCTCAGATTTTCTTTTAAACGCTGTTATTCATATAGGACAATCCTTTACAGCAAAGGGGCAACTTATGATTTACCAGAGGATTGTTGTAAAGAAGAAATGACAGACAGAAAGAACAAACAAGCAAACCAATAACATAGCATCATTCAGGCCATGCCAATCTTTTATTGTAGTTAATTCATGAAATAGATCAGTGGTTCCCAAACTTGGCAACTTTAAGACTTGTGGACTTCAACTCCCAGAATTCTCCAGCCAGCAGAATTCTGGAAGTTGAAGTCCACAAGTCTTAAAGTTGCCAAGTTTGGGAACCACTGAAATAGATGGTTGGTATGCTAGCGACAGTGGGAAACATGCTGTCTCAAACAGATTGGCTAGGGGGAAATTGGACAAGGTTTTCATGAATTAACTACA